GTAAACAAAAACTTATTTTGGATGCGATTAATCATGATTAATCGTTTGACAGCACTAATATATATATATATATATATATATATATGCTGTATAAAATATATATTAATTTAAAATATATAAATATATAATATATAGAAATATATTAATTATATTTAAATATTCATAATATACAGTATGAATATAAAATATTAATATACAAAATATCAGTTAAAATACTGATCATTTTAATTTAAGCATTCAGTATTATAATATTATAACAGTATTATAATATATACCCCACATTTATAAAACTAAATACTAAAAATGTTTAATTTACATTTTGAAATCAAAAAATGTGAGATGAGACTGAAATATATTATAGTAAATATACCGATCATTTTAAAATGTGATAAATGTGACTCTGCACCACAAAACCAGTCATAAGGGTCAATGCATTTATGCATCATCTGAAAGCTGAATAAATAAGCTTTCCATTGATGTATAGTTTGTTAGGATTGGACAATATTCGGCCGAGATACAACTATTTGAAAATCTGGAATCTGAGGGTGCAAAAAAATCAAAGTATTGAGAAAGTCGCCTTTAAAGTTGTCCAAATGAAGTTCTTAGCAATACATATTACTAATCAAAAAGTTATGTTTTGATATATTACGGTAGGAAATTTACAAAATATCTTCATGGAACATGATCTTTACTTAATATCCTAATGATTTCTGGCATAACTATTGCTACAAATATACCCGTGCTACTTATGACTGGTTTTGATATCATATCTGAAATTAAAAGCCATTTGCTAACTAGTGTTAGCCATTGCTTCCATTCTTCCTCAGAATGCACTAGCTTTCTGCTTTCCTCGACTGTCATGCTTTCAGCTTGTTAGCGGTCCTTGAATTTGACACTGTCTTTAAATAAAACACAATCTGGGACCTTAGACAACCTTTATTGTGCAACAAAAGCTTAGACAAAAGAAACACAATGTGGCATTGCATTTAGTCAGCGCAGGTCAACGATGCGCTTCTGCAGGTTAATGTGAGTTATTGTTTTTATGTTTGCAGCCGAGTCGCTGTGTATGTTCGGTTGACACGCAGGGCTTGTAGCCATCCATCAGACTGAGAAGTTTGACTCACCAAATGCCTGCGCTTCAGTCGAGTCCTCCATTATTCATGGGGCAGAGGGGCCTGCGTGAGGCAGACCTTTTTTTTTTTTACTTTAGCCCTGTTAATAATTCACGCGGCTGCACTCGCGTCAACAGCAGGCAGACCTCTGAGGTGTTGGGAGCTACTCTCAAACCTGGGCTTGATTTTTGGGGCCCTCCAGGCCACCGTCCGTGGATGTGGACATACAATATAACCGCAAGAAGAGATCCCAGGAATGATGAGGGCATGATGGGATTGTTTAATCTGAGGTCTGATCTCTCTGATCATTACTTTTGAACTTTGCACCACATCCCTTGATTGAATTAAATTGGACATGAAATGCATTTTTTCCACGTTCTGAAATGCTAATTATGATTGATCTTTTTAAAATATTTACTCGAAATTATAAATTGTGGTTGACAGTAGTTTGTTCTGGAAAAAAGTGACGAGAATTAACTTTACGATACTGAACTTTCAAGAGTCTCTATAACAATAAAAATTAAATTTCACATTCTTAAAACCACAGCAAAAAATGAAGATACAAGCTAATTTGTAAATGGGGGGGGGAGGGAAAAAAGTTATCAAAAATAACATGCACTACCATAATTTGGGGCCGGTGCAATTTTAAAGAAGTTTATACTTTTATTCAGCAAGGATGCATTGCATTTATCAAAAATGACAGTAAAGACACAATATTGCAAAAGTTTTCGATTTAAAATAAATCATGTTCATTGAGAGTTCTAATCTTTATAATGTATCACAGTTTCAATTAAGCAGAACAACTGTTTCTAACATTGATAATAATAAATGATTTTTGAGCCTGAAATCAGCATATTAGAATGATTTCTGAAGGATCATGTGACACTGAAGACTGGAGTAATGATGCTGAAAATTCAGCTTTGCATCACAGAAATAAATACTATTTTAAAATATATTCAAATAGAAAACAGTTATTTTAAATTGTAATAATATTTCACAATATTACTGTATTTTTGATTAAATAAATGCAGCCTTGTTAAGCATAAGAGACTTCTTTCAAAAACATAAAAAAAATTGTACCAACCCTAAATCCTAAACGGTAGTGTAATACAGTTTATTTTATTGTATTATATTAACAAGTGCCAGCCTGCATGTAATACAATATTGTGTATGTTGCTGAAAAAATACATAATAGAATAAAGTTTTGTGCTGTATGACAAATTTTACACTCAGGAATATCCTGACCTCTTTTCTTCATATTCTCAGTAGCTCAGTCTGAACTTGTTTCTGTTGAATTGGTGGTCTAGTGAGTCCATGTCTGAACCAGAGAGGAAGGTTGGAAGTGAAGGAGACGGCAGCCAGGACACCTTTCACTTCCTCTGTGTGTCCTCCGGCTGCCTGCTGGCAATGACCTGAAGGTGTAGATTACGCTGGGCTTCCCTTAGCAGCCTGCCAGTCTGGCCTCATCCAGAACTATAGAGACCTGCCCTACCCTGACCTCCGAACCCAGAGCCTTGCTTTTGTGTTTCAGAGCTGGAACAGGACCGGACTTGCATGCTAAACTCTCCCAGATCCAGAGGAGCTAGCGGTTCCGGTCCCTCAGTGTGCTGCTCTCTATTTCGGGCCGCTACCGCTGAGCTCATGCTGGTGGTGTGGTTAATGACACTTGTAGGTGACAATAAAATGTGCCTGTGTGAGCATGTGTCAGTCCCCATACTAACACCTCATGCCTTAGAGGAAACTTCTAATAGAAGAATTTTCCATTTTATAGCGCCGAAAGCTCTCTAATGATCAAGAGATAATTGGTTAACACTGTGATTGTTGTCGTTGTGTTATGATGATATATACTGAAGTGTTGTAATGTTTAGTCTACAGCGATGACACCTCACATTAACATTTCAGTGGGCAGTATGAAATCACTGTAGAAATGACACAAACAAATAAATAAATGAATAAAACAAGTACCTAAAAACCATATAGTTAAATTTTTACCATGATATTGAGGTGCTATATGTGTGGTTTTATCATGATCTAAATGTGTGCCACTTTGGAAGACCAATGGTTAATTTGAATAAAACTCAAACAGTCAGAATAATTAAATTTCACCATGTAAAATTGAGGTTGTTACAATTTTTACAGATCTTACTTTTTTCAATAATTAACATAAATTTATGTCTGTGTCAACTCAACTCAAGCTGCTGTCAAATGTGCATTTCAAAGAGAAGAGAAAAATTGTACTGTTATTAATATTGTAGATAAGATACACGTCATCAAAGTCAGGCAACACAAACCTGTTTCATTATTTGAAACCATATCACTCAACAGAACATGCAGAAACTATGAAATTCATTTTTCTATGAAGACGTTTATTTTGTTATAGAAAAATGACTGGAAAAGTGTAAGAATTCAAAAATGTGAAGTGTTTGTCACGTTCTTACCATAAAGAGTAGTTTAAAACCACAATTAACAGTCTGTTTTCTACTTTCACTTAAGTGCAAAAATCTGCCTTTAAACCTGAAAGAAATAAAAAGTTGAAATTTATCGTGATAATTATCGACATCGACTGATATGATATTTAGCGTGAAGGATAATTTTTTGGCAATATCGCCTAGTCATATTTACAATTTAAGTGATTATATTATATACAAATATTAAATATATTATAAATAGATTATAAATATAAGCCAGTCTTCAGTATATTTCCGACCAATTATTTTACTTTTTTAATTATATATTTAAATGCTGCTTGAAATTCACTTAAAATAGTTTATTTATTATTTTTGTGGATTATGCAGCAAATTAAATACTTAACAAATGAAGGTTGCATTATTTGACTCTTTTTTTTTTTTTTTCCAGAACTTGTTGGATGCAAAACAAACGATATCACAATATGTGACAGTTGAATTAAAACTATTATACATTATATTTTGATTCTAATTTATGATTGAATGAGCCTTATTCGTGTTGTAAAATATACCAATATACGTATGTATTAGGGGTGGAATGGTTCAACTTACTCACGGTTCGGTTTGTATCACGGTTTTAGAGTCACGGTTTCGGTACGGTTCGGTATGTGCTATGTTTAGGCAAAAACTATACTGTCAAATAAAAATAACGAAAATTAGAATAATCTTCAACTACAAGCAACAGCACAAATAAATACAATAGAGTAAATATACAAATAAAATAAACTGTGATTTTCAGTTTTTTTTAGGTAGGTCTAACATTAGTTTTTAGGTACAGAAATTGAATAAAGTAATGAAATGTAAAACAGCATTGCATATTTGACTGTATAAATTAAAGATTAATCTTTATTAAAGTTACAAAAGCTATTCATGATTAAACCCTGCTGCTCGTTTGCACATACATTGATGTGTAAAGGCACAAAACGATCGGTCTGTGCAAGAAACTGAACAGTATTTATATCGGTTTTTACCTCTGATTTTCACCGCAATGTCTGAACTGTCCAGAGCGCATTCGTGTCGTCTTCAGCCTGTGCATGAGGAGTCTTCCTCATATAAGTGGACTTATAAGTCTGCGATCTGCCGTAAAGCAAGAAGAAGAAGAAGGCGCTGGCTGTGAGAACGCGCTCAGGACAGTTCAGACATTGTGGTGAAAATCAGAGGTAATAAAACAATATAAATACTGTTCAGTTTCTTGCACAGACCGATCGTTTTGTGTCTTTACACGTCAATGTATCGTCACGAGCTGCAGAGTTTAATTTGGTTTTGTTTGTGTATGTTTTTTTGACTCTCAAAGCCGTTATTCCCATCCACTTACATTATATGACTGACAGACTGCAACGGTTTGAGTTAAAAATCTCAGTTTGTGTTCTACTGAAGAAACAAAGTCACCTACATCTTGGATGCCCTGGGGGTAAGCAGATAAACATCAAATTTTCATTTTTGGGTGAACTATCCCTTTAACATATTAACATCCATTTGACAACCACAAGTTACAATACTATTTGTCTTCATTTTGAACAATATTTTTTCAAATTCCAACTAAATTAGTAACTGATTTGGAAGTGACAGTAACATCTCGGAAGGGTGCTGTGGAGAGCCGACAGGAATTAGCATAGAAGTGCATCCATGCTAATGTGAAGGCTGCAGTCTGATGCTCCTGCAGGCAGGGGCCCCGTGTCTCCAATGGACGGTTTCCTGAAGGAGGGGCAGAGCCTGTGGAGCAGCCCATGAACAAACTCAGCTTCCTCGTACACCGCTGAGACAGCAAGAGCCATCTTCACCTCTTAGTCCCGAGCACAGACGCCCATCTGAGAAGTGCTGAGGACTTTACAAGATTTAGCTGAAATAGATTATAATGTTTTTGGTACCTCATGACAAACAGATAAAAAAAAGGAAAAGTAAATAAGATAATATAAACATATATATATATATATATATATATATATATATGTATTCATATATATAAATTCAATGTATAATAAAAAACTTTTTTCCCTATATGTATCCTATAATGAACAGTATATGAGTCCTGCACATGCAAATACTGTATATCTACTGGTATAAATGGTATTGCAGTGGTTTGATGCTGATTTTTATCCAGTCCAGCTCTGCTAAAATCACATGCAGACATGAAATGATAACTTGGACTCCTCTTTTTCAGGTCACACGATAGTCTGGGACCAATATACATTTGGGACTAGCAGCTTTTTTTTTTTTTTTTTTTTTTTTTTTTTTTTTTTTTTTTTTT